GGACTCCAAGACACAGTGTGTGTATGACAGGTGGGACCATGTATTAATAGTATAGTAAGCAATTATTGTATAAATCAACTATTAGATTGGTTATAGATGAATTAGAGCTAGTAGTGGACTATACTATACCATTGAACTTAGCTCTTACAGGAGAGCAGGCACAGGCTGGCCCGGAGCCTCGTGCCCCGGCTGCTCATCAGTGTGCTACTGTTTGGAGATCACAGGTAGCGCATCCCTTTCCATGGCGATTTGCGTGTCCCACACTGAACCAGCAGACTGCGACCATTTGGCAGCCTGCTACTGCTTGCAACCATTTTGTCAATGTCCAGTGATTCACACATCAATGTGTATCATAATAAAGATCCCAACTGTCACCAACCCAGCCTTGAAAAAACATCCAGATTCTAGACAAAGTTGCTGTCACCGACCCACACAAATATCAGTTTGATAATGTTCAGTACCAGATCATAACAGAAGTGTACCAATATATATGAGAAAAGGACTCATAAGATCAAGATGATGCCACATATAATTGGCAACTCCGAAATAAAGCATCAGGAATAGTTAATCAAGCTTAACATTCAAACTCTACAACAATCCTGAACAAAAAATCTACCCATCTCAAAATAACACAGCTTGTATTGGCAGCCACAAAGCCCCATATACAGGGAAATAGGGTCTCCAGTATCACCCAAGTCAGCACCATCATCAAGGTTGCATCTGAAGTTTCCTAAGCTATATCAGCAACAGGAGATAGTAACCACAAGACTGTAAAATTGTGGATCATCTACCCGCTGCATTTGTGCCAGAAGGTTGTGATATAAACTTCTGGGCAATAGCATTAATGCAAGACCTGTTCCTAAGTTACTCTCCATTGACAAAGCTTTTACTGTCGTAGTACTCGTTCCGTTTCTGCAAAAGCAACGCCACAGACTAAGGTGGTGTTTAGATCCAGGGACTTAACTTCCCTGTCTTTAGACACTAATTTAGAGTATTAAATATAGACTACTTACAAAACTAATTACATAAATAAAAGCTAATTCACGAGACAAATTTTTTAAGCCTAATTAATCTATAATTAGAGAATGTTTACTGTAGCATCACATAGGCTAATCATGGATTAATTAGGCTCATTAGATTCGTCTCGCAAATTAGTCCAAGATTATGGATGGGTTTTATTAATAGTCTACGTTTAATATTTATAATTAATTTTTAAACATCCGATGTGATAGGGACTTAAAAGTTTTAGTCCCATCTAAACAGGGCCTAAGGGAAAGTCTAATAAGAGAGTAAGCAGCCATCTATTAGATACTTACTCCCTCGGTCCCATAAAAAAGACAAACCCTGGTTTCCGTGTCCAACGTTTGACCGTCCGTCTTATTTAAAAAAATTATGAAAAAAAATTAAAAAGACAAGTCACGCATAAAATATTAATCATGTTTTATCATCTAACAACAATGAAAATACGAATTATAAAAAGATTTCATATAAGACGGACAGTTAAAGTTGGACACGGAAACCCAGGGTTTGTCTTTTTTTGGCCGGAGGGAGTACATGTTATTTCCATATCATTAAAGATAATATAAAAATTAACCGAGTCATTAATTTTTTTCTTAATGTGGGTCAAGCCTTGGTTCTCTCTCCTAGACTATCTACCAATCACAGATGCTCTTTCCATGTGGGCCCACCTTAATTATCTCTCACCTAATCTTTTCACCAATTACAGCATCCATCGCCAGCATGCTGTGTCTAGGCGCCCGTGCGGAGCCGTCGTCAATTTAGTCGACCGCTTCTCTCTCTCCACTCCCTCTTTCTTCCAGCAATGCAAAAGGAGCTGACATAAGTGGCTAATAGTAGGCATATTTTCCCTATTACACTTGCCCTAAAACTGAACAAAACCATAGCACATCAATGGACCAGAATAAATAAATGCAAACTACCCACCACCACCCGCATTCTTATCACAAGTTAAAGCTGCTACTGCATATGCAATTGCAGCCTTGCAGGGACCCTCCCTCTCCGATGAAATGAACAAATCAACTTAAGGTAGTTAACATTGTTGTCAAGTGCCTTTAAGGTAGTTAAGGTTGTAAATGGAACTCGTGTAGATCAGATCATCAGGGCCAGGGTCTGTCTAAAACTAGAGATTCTTTAATTGCACACAGGAATCTTAGACAAATTTCGAAGGAATCCGGTAAATTCTTGCGTTTTAAAGGAGTTCAATTATACTCTTATGAAGTGGATTTCCTTATGTACTAACTGGGTTCCAATTTATGGTTCACTTTTGCTCAGAATTTAGTCATGGCACAAGATCACACCATGAATAAACTTTAGCACCAAAATTGTCACTACGTTTTAGCTCATGGCCTTTAACTATCAGGCTTAAAATACAGTAGTAATCCAGAGCAAAAGGTTAAGCTGGCCTTGCGAGACAAAAGAAATAAAAAAGATGGCCGAGTAAAGAAATTGCTGGAGTACAGCAGTGACAGTTGAAGAGAACGTGCGAGGGCTCCAAGCCATGATCATTTGCTTACACATCATCCATATTTTTCTTTCCTACGATAGAGATCATTTTTTCTTACCCTAGGATAGTGATCTATTTTTCTCAGTAGCTATATGTGCTTGGAAATGCAGAGGAGTTGATTGAACGAGGAACGCCAAAGGCAAGATTCATCTGTATCTTTGTTAAACCTAGTAATGGAGCCAATGACATTGTTGAGTACGGACGTACAACTAATAGCATTTTTCGGTGGTTGGCCACTTTTTTATAGCATACATACCATAGGCAGCACTCGGCAGTGCAACTGTTAGTGGCAGAGCTCAAGTTACAGCCTGATCTGCTCAGGAGTTGGTTAAACCCCATAATTCAAACAAATAAAAATTTACGTCAGCCGAACTAGCTAGCATAGCATATGTTAGTTGTCACTACTATAAGAAATAAATATATCGTCTTTAACATTCAGATATGCTATTTTTTCATAAACTTTTCTACAATACAATTGTATGCAAATCAAGTTGCATTTTGGAAACCATATCAATGTAAAAGCGTCACTTGTGATTTAAGGGAGTGATTTTAAGCTTTTCTACTCCTATAAAAAAAAGGAACCAGTAGTTACCTCATGATTAAACATGTGGGCATCCATCTTTCAAGCCGATCAGACAGATTGCCAGCGATTATTGTAGATAAATCATCCCTAGATGGATGCATAGCTAGTTAGCTACATGTCGACATAGCTAATTAACCAGTCTGATAGATCCACGCCAAAAAAACTCTTCGCTGGAGGCTTTTAGGCCCTCCAATTTTGTGAGTTATGAGGTGCATGCTTAGCCACAACACAAGCTAAAGCTGACCTGCATTTTATTTTATTTTTGTTCAGTTCAGTTGTGCATGCATGCAAAGAGGGATCCTTTGATGGCCTGATCAACTGTAAAATTGTTTATAAACATGGTTAGTAATATAGAAATGACAGAGATAGATTCCATGAGTTGGTACACTAGTGGAGCTTGACATTGTAGGGATCAAGGTGGAGCGTAAATTCAAAGGTGAAAAAGGGAAGAGCAAACCAAGCGAACATGTGAGGTACAGCCTTATAGCGGCTGATAGCATATCAAAGTTAATTATAGTCGCCGCAATCGGCATTGGTCTTGGGTTAAGATTTCGGGAAGAGGCATTATGCACCACTGTCGTCGACTGGTGTATAAGCGGCTTTTCTATTGCGTCACTCACCAATTTTCTGGTTGTGGGCGTGAAGATTCGCCACCACCGCCTGGAAGAGCAGTACTCCAATGCAAGGGTGAAATAGAGCGGTGCTATCGCGGACAAGATTTTTCCAATGTCCGCCAACTCTATCATCTTGAAATTGGTGAAAATAAAAGATGAAATGTGTATTAAATATATACTTACGAGTCGATAGTATATATAGCGAACACCGATATGCGTCGTCATCGAGTGATCTAATTATGCCGTTAGTTATTTAAGCATGCGAGCCACATGTGGTGAGCATATGATGGCAACCATAGGGTGTGTTTGGTTGCCTGCATGTGTTTTGGCTCGCACCCGCCCATGCAACTTCGGGTTGTTTGGTTGCCTGTTCGAAGATCTTAGCCAAGCCCTAAGGATGCAGGATTCCCTCCACAGCCAGGCTCTAGAGGAACGCGGGGAATGAGCTTCGCTCCTCAACCTGGATGAGCGGATGCAGGGGCGGGTGCCTCGCGCGATGCAACGCCTGCAGTCCGCTCACCTCCACTGTCTCATTTGCTCCTTCCCCATCCTCTTTCCTCTCCTTCTCATTGTTTCCCATCTTCCTCCTCTTCTCGTCGAAGCCACCGTCATCTTCCAGAGCACTGTCGACTCTCCTCGTTTCTGAGTCGCCGGACTGACCAGATCTGGCGGCCATGAGCTCCTAGCACCATATCCGGCGGCCTTGACCTAATGGCAACTCACAAGCCATTCTCTGTGTCCTTGATGTCCATCTTTGGTGAGCACCTTGACTGCAACAGGTAGTGACTTCAGACCAACCCTGACATTCTCATCTATGTAGCCCTTGTAAACAGTCCCAAACCCTCCTTCACCAAGAACGTAGTCAGCACGGAAGTTCTTTGTGATGGTCTCGAGTTCAAACAATGTGAAGTCAATCACATAACGTGTATATGGAGATGTTCTTGGCATCTTCAATTTTCCTAGGTGTTAAGGATCACTCATATCTGATGAGATGCGGGTGTGCTTCCTCTCTGCAACAGCATTCTTGACAGAGAGAACCGCTATACATACGACATTTTGTTTACGATTGCTTTACGATCAAACGTTCTCTACTACTCTCTGTTGACGATTGCAAGTTTCGGTCCCACGCGAAAAAACATACACAGATGACACGGCGTTAGATCGTACTTGGATCGTAACAAAAGATCGTACGTATAGTATTTTCCTTCTTGACAGGATGTTGTAGCAAGTGGAGCTGCTGAACTGAGAAGATGACATTTCAACAACAAGAAAGAAAAAATAGTCAAGGTAAAAACGAATTAAGGTTACCATAAATTCTTATACATATAAGATAAAAGGCAAGCTTTTTTTTCATATTGAATTTTGAGCATTCACAGAGATGGTTGGATGAAAGAGAGCTAATCCTGCTGAAATACGTTTAGGAAAGCTATAATCACAAACTAACAAGAGAACTACTGGAAACGAGCGTTGGCGATTCCTAGCAATTATAAAATGGTATTCTACTTAAAAATACTGTAAAAAAAGTACATACATGGGCAAGTTGATTACAGCAAGAGGTAAACAGGACCAGGAGACCAGATCTACTGCACAGTTGCATGCAATAAAAAAAAGGGCTCCAAATTGCTTAAACAATGCAGCAAACTGCAAGAAGTGATTATGTTTTTCCAACTTGCAGGATCATAAGTCTATTTTCTGTTAAACTGAAAGTCAACAGTGCCTCAGTGAAGCAGATAGCACAGAAATTGCAGCACTATTGGGGGAAGTGCCTGTAAATTGTCCCTATGAACACAATGAAGTAGAATTTCTGATACAGCAACCAAGAAGATAAGGATATGCAGCAGAGAAGAAATCACAGAGCAACCACACCAGAAAGCTTAAGGAGATGAGGCTTCCCCGCAAAAAAAAAAAGGAAAAAAGAATGGATGTTGATCAAATGTAGACTGTAAATCAAAATCCCAGAATCCCCATGTGCAACTAACAGAAAAACAATGTTGAACATTTGGAGCAAATGTTGATATCGGATTTTAATCAAAGCTAAACCCGAGAGTACCAAAATGCCGATTTGGAGACCTAACAAGAATCAACATTTGCAACCAGAACACCCATCCAAAGGTCCCAATAAGCCATAGGTCATCATATATAGCAAAAAGGAAAGACAGTGCTTTTGTCAATTCCCCACTGAACCCACCAACCTAGAGTCCTAGAGATCAGGGGAACCCAGAAATAACCACCAAGATCAATTTTTTTTGATGAAATTCAGATCATCCAACCCGAGATCCCATCCCAACAACCAGCATCCCAAGAAACAATCCCTGGGAAATCCCCTAAAGAAATCAATCCGAGGAAAAGGAGGAAGTGAAGAATACCTTGGGCGTGCGCCGCGACGACGGCATTCTCCTCTCGCGTCCCGCAGTTGTCCATCTATCTCCTGCTGTTGTTGATGGTGGTGGTGGTGGGTCTCTCTCTTGTAGTGGAGGCCCAAGCTCTCATTCTTGGGCGGGATTGGGAGGGGGGGGGGGGGGGGGGGGGGCGTAGGCGATGCCTATGCCATGCGCCGCCGCTAGAGAGGCGATGCTGCGTGCTCTTCCTCCTCCAGTGGCCTGTGGGGGGCAGCGGAAACGAAGCTTTGCTTTGCTTTGGTTTTGCTTTGCTGTGTGCGCGTGCGGGTGGGATGAACGGTGGTGGTGGGAGAGGAACGCCTCAGGTCATGTACGCTGGTGGCCACAACCACCAGTGGTTTTAAGACGCCACTTAGAATAGAAACACGTAAAAACCACTCAAAAATATATTTTGTATTTCAGTCACTATTTACGTCAGCCTTTACGGTGTATCTTATTATCAAGCCTATTAAAACCTTTTATTTTGGACCCTATAGCAACTAAAAGATGTACATATGCACCCCTAAACACCACCGGACCCACTGTCAGCCTCTTCCCTCTCTTTTTTATTCCCTCTGCCTCCCCCCTCTCTCTCTCCCCCGAGCCCTCTCACCGTCGTCGCCCTTTCTTTTCTCCCAGTCAACCCGCCGTTGTCGCCCTCTCTTTTCCCTCTACCTTCGGTGGCAGATCAGTGTCACTCGAGCTCTGGCGGTGGCGGATCTGGCGAAGGCGGGGAGCAGCGGTGGCGGTGGATCTGGCGGCGGCAAGGAGCAGCGGTGGTGGTGGCGGGGAGCAACGGTGAGGGCGGATGGCTTGACGCCGCTGTCCTCCTCACGACCACGGCGAGATGGCTCGACGCCGCCATCCTCCTCCCCCCACGACGGCGCAGACGAGCTCGCCGACGGCGTGGCGAGCTTGGCGGCGGCGGGCTCACCGGATCCGGGTGCGGGGTCGCCGGATCTGGCGAGGCGACGACGACCACGGCGAAGCGACGCGAGTCCGGCCTCCGCACCGGCGGCGGCGGATCTGGCGGCGATGGGGAGCAGCGACGACGACCACGGCGACGGCAGCGGATCTGGCGAGGCGACGTAGCGGCGACGACGACCACAGCGAGATGGGGATTTGGGGTAGGTGCACGGGAGACCGGACGAGGCGACGCTGTTAACGACCAAATTTGGTAATCTAAGTATCGGAGATAAAAATTAGATTGAAGCGGAATCCAAGATCAAGATTGGGACCAGATGAGGCGACGCTATTAACGACCAAATTTGGTAATCTAAGTATCGGAGATAAAGATTAGATTGAAGCGGAATCCAAGATCAAGATTGTTTCAGAAACAGAGCAAGAATCGGCTGGAATCCAAATCGGCTACGACTAGGATCGGCAGAGTTCGAGTCAGACAGGGTTAGCCGATTGAGCCGATCCCGACAATACAACTCAGTGTACGTCATCGGATTGAATTAATGTGCTTCGCATGGATCACCACACTTGGATTGAGTCCTGAATAGGCAATTGTATCTATTAATTAGGATATTTTATGTAATTTCCTTAGAGATAAGTGTGGGCAAATGTCTGCCGCAAAGATTTATGGTATGTTAGAGTTTGTTAGAGATAAGAGTCGTGTCCGACAAGGACATATTGTGTAATCTCGGGTATAAATAGACCCCGAGCCCCATGTAATACAACAACAGACGTTCAACAACAATCTCGGCGCATCGCCACCCTTTTACTTTCATTTTGTTTCGACGAGTTCTTGCTTTCAGGTTGAGCTGCATCGGTTTCGATCTTCAACTAGAGGTAAAACTTGTTATGGCGGCTTGCGTTCTCGGGATTAGTGCTTCCATCTTTATGATACTCTAATCTTGTTTATGTAAGTTGTCGAGTTATCATGTATCTTATATAATCTCCGACAATATCGTTATCTAACCTCCAATCGGCTAATATCTATCGTTAGGAAGCAGCCGATTAGGTTAAATATCGACGTTGGCTTAGATTATATAGGATATCTACCACTCTATGAAGCTTCCAATAGCTTGATTGTCTAGATATTGTCTTTCTTTTTATACTTATGGCTGCATTAGTTGAGTTTGATCTCATAAGTCGTGTTTAGAACTATAGTCTCAAGCCTGCTTCTTGGTTGCTGATTAGAGTAGCATCGAGCTTTCAGCCGATCTTACCTGATTTACCTTTATGTCTTATATGCTCAATTGTTATGCTAAATATGCCCTTTATGTTAAGATCCTATTGCATTTAGGTTTATTAAGCTCTATGTTTGGTATATTTTACTTGCTTTAATATCTTAATATAGAGTAGTATCAGAGTATTAGCCGATACACGCTAGATCTATCTGATGGGCTATGCTATGAGCATCTATAATCTCATTGTTAATATTTATTTCGATCTAAGTGATTTATACTGCCTCGGTATGGTGATCGATCTATCCCAATCACTTGATTTAAGCATATATCAACATAAAAATTATGTACTGTTAACATCTACAGCTGATCGAATAGATTTAGTTTTAACTTACTCATTCACAACTGCCGATCGACTCACATATGACATTGGCTCAAGAATAAATGATATGTCATCGGTGACTGGCCGATCGGCTATCATTTATGGATTTAACTGCGGTTTCTTTGTCTTTATTTCTTGTTGATTGCAGGATCAAATCAACTGGCACGCTCACGAACCTAAAAGGCATGATTTTGTACCTGCACTGGAGTTAAGCAGATCTCCCAGACCTCATGTTTTTCGCATCAACACGTTTTTGGCACGCCTGGTGGGACACGAGTTTCAACGACTTCTTCCCGATGGCCGAAAAACCACCACCGTCACCAGGGACAGGAGTCAAACCTCCCGTTACCAAAACGGGAGCTGCGAATCCATCAACTGAAGTGAACCCCAGCAACATAGTTCCAGTTACATTGGATAACCTGACGGCTGAACAAAGGGGTGAACTTGAACAAATGATGAGCAATGTAAAGGATCAGCTTATGAATTCTTTTCAAGAAACCCGCAGAGGCACAATCGTCCAGAAGTACAAGCTGAAGGTAGTTGCAGCCGATGAGGTTGGCTCAAGCTCTTCTCCAGGCAATGCAGGTACTGCAGCTGGCTCAGGCGACAAAGGTAATGTCTCTCAAGATGGTGCAGTTGAAGATCTTGGTGAAAATGGCAACCAAGAGCAATTACAGTTTAATAACTTTCAAGATCGGATCGACTACGCCGTCCAACATGCTCTGATCAACCAATCCGGTGTGCTAGTTAACACTTTGACAAACATGGTGAAGACTGTGGTCGATGGTACGATAGCTGAGCATCAAACTACAGGGCCAGTTTATTTACCAGGAGGTGTTTTTCCGAACTTTTGGCCTTCAGTCACAGGAAATCAACAGGGTGTTACTAGTGTACCACCAATCCAGCCGATGGCATCAGTTTCAACTACTGCACCAACTGCATCATCATCGGCACCAAGACAGATGGTCAATGCTGAAAGTGCATTAATCCTCCTAGTGAGTTTTGGTGATTAATGATAAATGTGGTTAAGGGACTAATGAGCTCATTGAGTAGCTTTCAGGTGCATTAGTCCAAGGTGTGGAAGATGGATGCTTGAAGACCCCCCAAAAAGTACAAAATCAAAGCGGACCGGAACTCAAGAAGTGCATAGGATAGTTTATCTTTTGAAATCGAGTTTTTAAGAAAAACCGTACTATTAAGAGGGGTTCCAGGTGATGCTCTGAGATATATCAAGTGCTCTTAGTGTGAACCAAGTGTCAAGTTTCCCTTGGAGTCCTTTTTTGCAAATACTCCATCTGTCCAAGTTCCGGGCCTGGGAGGCTGGAAGTTCTGGAGTTCCTTACCAGGAAGTTCCTGGTCTGTTTGAACTTTACCGCGGTGATTTGTTTTTAAGTTTTTAGGGACAACCTATTCACCCCCCCTCTAGTCTTCATCAACGCGTTCAATTGGTATCAGAGCAAGGTGCTCTTGATTCAAGCTTCACCGCTTTGAGTAATCCACGATGTCGGATTTAGGGGGAAAGAACGGGGAAAATGGAAATGAAGATGGAGCGAGCAGCAAGGGAACTTCATTATCCAAGGGAGCTACTATACCTTTTGATTACAGCAAACTTACCATTCCCCCTCACAACTTTGTCTCCGTGCCTTCCGGGCGTGCTCCTCAATTTGATGGGACACATTACGCCGCTTGGAAGCACAAGATGAAGTTGCATCTAATCTCTTTGCATCCAAGTATTTGGAAAATTGTTTGTACAGGTGTTGATGTACCCCATGATGACATGGAGCTCACTTCGGAGCAAGAGCAACTCATCCACCGCAATGCTCAAGCTTCCAATGCAATTCTCTCCGCCTTGAGTCCGGAGGAGTTCAACAAGTTTGATGGTCTTGAGGAGGCCAAGGAGATATGGGATACTTTGCAATTGGCTCATGAGGGATCACCCGCCGTTCGTGAGGCCAAGATTGAATTATTGTAAGGAAGGCTTGGAAGATTTGTAATGGATGACAAGGAGACACCACAAGAGATGTATGATAGGATGATGATCCTTGTCAACAAGATTAAAGGACTTGGGAGTGAGGACATGACAAATCACTTTGTGGTCAAGAGATTTCTCCGTGCTTTTGGTCCAAGAAATCCCACTCTTGTATCAATGATACGGGAAAGGAAAGATTTCAAGAGGCTCACCCCAAGTGACATTCTTGGAAGAATTGTGTCTCATGAGATGCAAGAAGTGGAAGCTCGTGAAGTGAGGCAAATGGTGAAGAATGCCGCCATGATCAAAAATCAAGAAGTAGCTTTGAAGGCAAAATAAGAAGAAGAGTCAAGTTGTGAAGAAAGTGAAGATGAAGAAATGGCTTTTATTGTCAAGAGATTCAAGCACTTTCTTCGCAAGAGTGGCTATGGCAAAGGGAGGAAGGATGATGACAAGGGAAAGAGGCAATCAAAGAGAGCTTGCTTCAATTGTGGCGAATACGGCCACTTCATTGCCGATTGTCCCAAGTCAAATGAAGCAAAGGCTAAGGGAGGCAAGAAGAAGCCGGAGCGTGCTCATGTGGCGGAGGCACACATGGCGGAGGTGTGGTACTCCGGAGATGAAGAAGATCCCGAGGTCAAGCCCAAGCCCAAGCCGAAAGACAAGGTTGAAGGAGAAGGTGGTGTTGCTACCGTCACCTTCAAGTCATCTTCTTCAAGCAAGGAACGTCTCTTCAACAACTTGAGTGATGACGACGACGACTCCTACCACTACTCTTGTTTCATGGCCCAAGGCCGCAAGGTGATGACTCAAAAGCCCTCTTACATCTCTCTTGATGTTGATTCTAGTGATGAGGAAAGTGATAATGAAT